TCCCAGCCTTATATGGAGTTGTTGACTGACATAGAGCACTCACCTGCAGGGGGACGGAAGCGGAAGCCAGCGCCATCTTTGGGGTGCGGCTGTGCGCAGCTCTCTACAATGAATTATTACCCATAAAACTTCAAGTGTCATAAAGCAACTATACCAGAAGGGAGTGTGGGCCCTGTGAAGACACTACCTGTTAAAGCGCCAGTCAGCTGTTTAGCCAGTATTAACCATGATGAGGTTTAAGGTATATCCAATTTTAAATTTTCATACACTGCATTTCAAAGCACAAAAAGATATAAGGGAAATCAATCTTATTAATATTTTAATCTAAAAATAGTATTATTTCAATATGCAATAAACATTCATGTTATCAACAAGATAGTTTAAACTGTTTTATGCTAAATATTCTAAATAAATGTGGGAAAGGGATGTCTTAAACTTAGAACATGATTTGATTCAGACTAGTCACACACTTCAGGCACACAGTGGATACACGCGGCTAGTTCCTGCTGTGCTGAACAGCTCAGCTCCAGAAAGTTCCAGCCACTGCTTATTCCTGCATCTTCACCCCAGGCATGGAGATATATCCGCTGAGCACTAAAGAACATGGGGGCCTAGCCATTGTCCTTTTGCACCAGGGGCAAGCTTTAAGCTGCTAAATTGGAGGGTGGGAGTATGGCTGTAGAGTAGAACCCAAGGAACACTAGAAATACTAGCTTTGAGAACACACGTACTTCCGTCCTCTTCTCAAGCTCAACTCTTTTAAAGAAAAGTTAAGAGCCGAGCTGTCCTGCAGCCAATTCATAGACCCAGGGTGGTTCTGTCACTCAGCTCATCTTGTCACTGCTAGTCTTAGTTGGTGTCCTTCTGATGGTTTTCACAGCACTAACCCCAGCCCAGGTGACTCCAAACATCTCTAGTACCTTGCAGCACTTGCCAAAAACAAAACTGATGGCATTTTGGAACATTCTGGAGGACAAGGCACTCCTCTTAAGTAATGGAATATTGGTAAAAGTGATATGCAGAGACATTCAAGAAAATGACAAAGTAATTCAAAATGTCCTCTGAACATGCCAGGCTGCACCCCAGAGCCCAAGCCAAGGACTTCTTCTGTCATGCTCCATGTCCATCCCAATCTACACCAATAAAAAGCCTATCAAGCACAAAATGAAGGTCAAACCAAATCTTAGAGCCCTTTGATAGATGTATAAGACTATTTATAATCATCTTCCTACTGTCATGACCACTCTGCCCTCCCAGCCTTCAGCACTTTGGCAAAAAGGGATATACATTTTGCCCGTGTCATCCCCCAAAACCTCCACTTCCCTTTTCTAGTGTACGTATCTTACATGCCTTAGTTGTTCCTTATAAGGCATGATTTCCAGGATTTTAACTAATACATTTCCAAGGATATTTACTTCATGGTTCTTTATAAATCTCAAACTTTATGGCACTTGGAATAGAATATGTGCTCCAGATATGACCTGATCGATACATAGTTAAGTATGGATTTTAATTGTTTCTGTCCTACTAGCTATGTTATTTTTATGAAAGAAAGTGACATTGAAGCTCCCCAAAGGCATTAGAATAAAGAAATGCCTCATTCTGTCTAAACACATAATCCCTTTGTTACATGCAGCATCCTAATATAAGTTAGGAAAAGTCTAAAACTGAGAATCAGAAAGCCAATCTTGATTTCAATCCACAATTTATTAGGACAACTTCAAACAAGTTGTTTGTGCTATCTGTGTCATGCTTTCTTTATTTATTAAAAAGGTCAATGGAAAATCATGACATTTTTTGGTAAACATTGAATGGAATTTGTCTGAGTACATGATTCTTAATCTACAAAAATCTGCACAAGCCTAAGACTCATTATATCAGCTGAAAGATAGGACTAGTTGCTTATTTCCACTTAAATTTTATCTACTTGGTTTAAATTCAACATCACAGCTTGAGAGAGCTTTCTTTAAAATATTACACACTCTGAATCAGTAATTAAATAAACATTTTCTCTGTGAATCATTTCTTCGTAGTGTCTTGGAAAGGACCAAATTTACAGTCGCTAGGCTGTCCATCAATTGCCTGCAGGTACTTCAGTCCTTTCATCAAAAGGAGGGATTTGCCTCCAGATGTAAGATGCTGTTCTTTCTACCTGCTGATCCAGAACTCTGGGTCAGGTTACCATGGCGGCGGCAGCAACAGACCTAACTACATTTCAGAGGCTGACGCTCCCTTTCAGGGGAAGCCACTCATGCAATTCTCTGCTCCATTCCAGAGTTGCAGCACACTCGGGGTGAGTCAGACAACCAGCTGGCAGAATAAAAGAGCCTTTGAGTCAGTGTGGTTGTGGATCTTGAGACTCTGGGGCTCAGACTGATGCAGAGCAGTAGGCCTTTAGGGGTCAGGAACTTAGTGAGGGAGGGCTCCATGCTCCTTGGCTAGACTTGCCATGGTCTTGGACAGAAGAGCAAGTTAAAATATTTGGATCCAGCATGTCAGTCCCATGGAATAAATTCTCCTTGGACCATATAGGAAGAAAAAACAAAACAAAACAAAACAAAACAAAACATATGTTTTATTCTCTTTTCAAAAAAGCCTTTGCTTTTGATCTTAGAAAATAACATCTATATAAACTATAGAAACTTTAAATTTGCAGTAAATGATACGACAAGAATGGCAAGGTATTTCTCATATGTGGTCTGACATATATTCTGGACTTCTTTTCTCTACTAGCCGTGTATTCTTGGGCAGTCCCTATGCATCAGGTACCATGACAGTTGTTTTGTAGAAGAGGAATAAGCCCCTGAGGGTCACTCAAGACTCAGCACAAATTAACAGCTGCACAGTCTATGATTTCTACGTAATGATATTTTTCTATAATTATGCAATTGAAAAGGCAAAGAGCTGAGAAAGTAAAAAATACACAGAAACACACACTTGCTCAAATATTCACATTTTTATTTTGGTTAGAAGAACTAAAACTAAGTTCACTGTTGTGTGTATGTGTATGTCTGATGTTGAGAACTGAACCAGGGCCTTGAGTATGCCAGATATAAACTCTACAACTAAGCTAAATCCCCAAGTCCCAACTTCACTTCTAATCTAACTTAAGCATCTCTTCATAAATGAAAACTCAAAGGATTATTTTTGTATTTATTTTTGTGTTAACTTGCAAAGAATGGATCCATTACCATTGTGCATACCTGGTCTTGCCTTCATGATGTATCTTAGACCAGAAATATGGGATTCTGGGGGCCTGCCGATTAGCTCAGTTGTTTAAGCACCTGCTTATGCAAATACAGTCAGTGGCAGGATACTCCAGTTCGATCCCCAGCTCCACAGGCCTTACCAGAACCACCCTTAACACAGCCTGAGCCAGCCCCTACCCCCTAAAAAAAATCATTCTCAACTTTAAGAGCTGGCCAAATAGCTCAGTGGACTAAAGCGCCTGCTCAGGCGCAGGCGCCAGGGGTTCAATATCTGGGCCTGCCATGCTGGCCCCACCCCCAGGGTGCACTGAGGTGGCGATTGGCACTGGGCCTGGTGGCTCACGCCTATAATCCCAGCACTTGGGAGGCTGTAAACAGGAGAATCACTATGAGTCAATCTAGTAGTGAGACTCTGAACACCCTGTAGATCCTCCCTTAAATTTTGGGAAAAAAGAAAAAGAAAATATAGGATCCCATTCAACTCTCTATTAAGTAGTATTAAAAGTAGGTTTAACAAAGAAGGTTTCCAAAGGACACAGATCTTTAAGGGGATAGGAGTAATGGGAAAGGAAGATGTTAAGTGAAATAACGTCTATAAACCCAGAAAGACAGGTGAGCAAGTAGTGTAAAGACAATGGAAGACAAATAGCCTTCGCTGGTTAGAAGTGAACACATGGATACACAGGTGCACTAAAGTGTGAATCAGAGGCGGTTGTCTTAGTCTACCTAATAGAATATGTCACCTCTACTTTTTTTTTTTTCAGAGAACAATAATTCCAGCAGTGGAGAGCATTACTAGAGTACTTAATATTTGTAGTATCTTGTAGGAGAGTAACTAAATTTGAATGCCTGCCAGCCATGATTGCTAGTGGTGTGGTTAGAACTGAGTAACACAACTTGTACAGAATGAAAAAACGGAAATATTCACATTTTCCTGAGCCTTTTCCTCTAAACTGATGCAAAATCAATGAAAGTGCATTTTTAAAAACTACTCTGACAGAAGATCTATGGGTCATGCCCTTATTAGCATTTCATGGTTTATCAAGCACATTCACAGGTAGTTTTCTTTAATTTTCTCATCAACCCTGTGAGTTGGGTCACTGTTGCCCATGTCTCATAGATGAACAGATCATAGGCTCGAGAGCTCTGGTGAGTGGCTTGAGGGTTCCACAGCTCAGACTCAGGTTCTAAGCCCAGGTTCTCTTTGCACTAAAAGATTTTAGAGGACAAAACACACCTCCTTTGGGAAACCTCCCCTGTACCAGTTTTACTGGCAGAAGAGATTTCAGTTTAGATGTTCCTACACAGCTGCGATACAGAGTTAAATATTAGACCAGAGCCTCCTTTGTCCAGCACACTGTAGTCTAGTTGGTCATATGGAAAAATCTGTTATAAACATCAGAACAATGGATCCAAATGATAAAAAAAAAATGTTTGTACACAGGAGCTTTGAATTCCTGTAATTCTTCAAGCAAACTGAAATGGCAAATTGAAGTGTTGGTTTACTATGCCGTACAGAGATTTTAATGCTTGCCTTTTCTAACAAAAGAAAAGGGAATAAAATGTTTGAATTTACCTTTTATTCAGCTTTCCTAGGACAGTTAATCTCACTTTGGATTTAATCTTCAGAAATTGTTCTGTCACCTAAGTTTTCACATTTTCTGAGATAATTTTTTTTTAAATATTCACTACGGCTTCATATTTTAAGTGCTTTTGTCTCAGTTTTACTTTAATATGTGGGTGATATTTTATATTCTGTACTGATCCATTCTTCCATTGTTATATCAACTCAATTTTCTTGTCATTTTTACAATACTTACTTTATGTGAAAGATATTTTGCTCTCTTTATCCATAGCCTTATTGGGAAAAGTTTTCAATTAGCAATAATCGTGCCTTGGATAAACCTCATTGGCTATGGTACTGGCACTGCGCAAGGCTTCCATAGCCTTGTGGAATTTTATTGTGTATATATGCTTTCTAATATAGCATTTTTTTTGGTCCAGTGATTATTATGTTGCCTCCTTTGAAGTTCACTAATGCCAATGTCAAGCAGATTTATTAAAGTAAATTTCTTCAAATTCCACTGTATAAGGCAAGTCTTGTCATTTATATAATCTGTTTGGGAACAAAGCTAGCTTCCTCATATACTCCTGCTAGAACCAGTTTTATTCAAGGGTTCATTTTACTTCAGATGATCAAGTGTAATAAGACAAAGCCTTGGCAGGAAAAGAGAATAGTCACTCTACAATCCTTAAAACAGTAGTAATTTGTACAGCTGACAATATAAAAAATCCCATTGATGGTGACACAGACAGACTTGGCAGGTTGACATTTTGATTGACTCTACTCTTTAAAAGTGCAAGTAGTATTCACTCAATCCCAGAAACTGTGATTCTCTGGTTGAGCCTGGCAAGTGAATGCTAAAAATTCTATCTTTATTTTCTTGAGTCCCATGATAATATTAAAAATAATTAATGAAAGAGTTGGAATTTAGACCTTGATGCCTCACTTGCTCAGCATGCAATGAGGCCATGTGTTCAATCTCCAGCATCACAGAAGAATGACATGTGGGTAGGTAGGTTTGTAGATAGGTGGGTAGGTGGGTAGGTAGTAAGTGGGTGGCTAGGTAGGTAGGTAGATGGGTAGGAGGTAGGTAGGTAGGTGGGTAAGTAGGGAGGTAGGTGGGTAAGTAGGTAAGTGGGTAGGTTGGTAGACACATGGGTAGGTGGGTAGGTAGTAGGTGCGTGGCTAGGTAGGTAGATGGGTAGGAGGTAGGTAGGTGGGTAAGCAGGTAGATAGCTGGATGGGTAAGTAGGTAGGTAGGTGGGTGGGTAGGTAGGCAGGTGGGTAGGTAGATGGATAGGTAGGTGGGTAGGTAAATACATACATAGATGATAGAAAGACAAAACTGGGTTCTCAATGTTTCTTTCACAAATATGCTCTGAAGACAAAAGTTTAACACAGCATTTGGATAGTTAAGGTTCATAATCTCCTGCATTTGGGGAGCATATTTTGGCTTACAAATATTGTTTTGATGCTGACAGAAACTTTGAGAAGTTTGCAGAGTGTATATACTCTTAATTCCAGTTTTGAGCTAATAGCAGTGGAAATCAGTGTTAGAATGGCTCATGAGGACAGTCAATGAATTAGAAGAAGATCTAGGCCTCCTAATTCTTACTCCCTGTAATTTCTATTTGGGTTGAACTATTTTAAGTTTCTAGTAATATAATATGCTACAACAAAAGAGAATTTTGTATATTCTGTCAAATGAACTTCCTTCAATGAACCTTAGTTTATTGGTGACTTTTGTTTTTTTGGGTTTTTTTGTTGTTGTTTTGTTTTTTTACTATGAAGTGGGAAGGAGTAAAAGAAAATAGGTTTGAATTTTGTGTTGTCCTGATTGATTTGAAATTATCTGAAATCATGTGATTTAATTGAAAATAATTTTCTCCTCTTCATAGCAATATCCCACTAAGAATTCTTAAAACTGAGCAAGTAAGAATTCTTCAATTCTTTTACTGAATTAAAGAATTTTGAAAAATATTTTTATGGCTAAGGTCTAAATGTTTATGAAATGAGCACAGGATTTTAGCTGCACAATAATAAACAGTGAGATGTTTTAATGGCATTCAGCTGGATACGGATTTGATACTTTTGACAAGTTTCTGACATAACCATCCCCACTGTGTGCATCTGGCCTTTCCAAGTGGGAGAGAACTGTGCTGCTTCAGAAGAAAATATCATTGAAATAATTCCCTTACCACTTCCAGATGGAGTCAATCTGAAATATCATTATGAGAAAGCAAGAGCATCAATTTGTGGTGATACTTCATTATCAAAATAGTTTTTGTTATGCTAGAAAATTCCAAAATGTATCAGTTTACAGGGTTGAAGAGATGGTGATGGAAAAGATACTTCATCTTCTGTTACATAATGAGATATTAAAATACAGTAACTAGCTTACATTCTGATTTTCTTGAAGATAATTTATTTCTTTTTATGTCTGAGATTCTATGCTCACTGGACTCTCTGTCATAAAGGAAACTTTAGTAGTAATGAGAACAGAAAGCTAGTAACTCAAATTTAAAGGAACTGAAAGGATTTAGTCTAGGAAACTCATCCAAGCTTACTCCAGAAACAGAGCCTAATCCAAGCTGTGATGCTCAGCCCCAGTCAGGAAGGAGAGCGCCGTTGTTCTTCGTTGCTTCAGTCTCTCTGGAGCCTGGTGCTTAGTCCTGCCATCTCTAACTGCCATCTCTAACCTCAGAAAGCAGCTTGAAAAAGATATGGCCGCTGTGGGAGAACAGAGGAGTTCTTCTACTTTAATCAATTATTTAGTGTGTCACACTCCCAGGTCAGCAGGACTCACAAACTCTCCATCCTCTAATGCAAGAAAGATATCTATATTCATAAACAACATGTTCCAGGAAGCCCAATATACCTACCACCAATAAAGTGCCACTCAGTGCCTTGGAAGTTCGTGATTCAGTGATGTTTGTTCTTTTCTTTTCATTACTGTTTATGGAGAGCCATTTTTTTTCAAGGAAAATTAAAGCCTAAAATAAGACTTAGTTCAGCCAATACTGCTTTGATGAAAACTGCAGTATTGACCCTCATTTGTCTCTTGAGTCACCTGATACTCTATCCTACTTGTCTCACTGAAAACTAAGTTTGTGGTGAAGAATAAATTGTGCCAGAGAAGGTGGAAGTGCATCAGTGATTAAAAGCAAGAGTTTTGGAATAAACTGTCTCCATTTGGATTTAACTTGGTTAAGTGAGTAGCCTTGGACAAGATTTTTAACATCATACCTCAAACTCCCTACTTATAGATGGGATGATAAAAGTATCTTTTAGTGGGGAATTACTCATCAAATATAATATTATATGAATTAATACATGTTATTGAATATTACATGCAAAATGTTCAACATGTACTGTCACTGTAATCAGCCAAGGTGTCCAATGAGTGATAATATATTCATTTTCAGAAAAGCAACTCCTATGATACTATATTTCTTTCTACGTTTCAGATCACAGAAGTCAAAAATTAAAAATCACCTCAGTACCCCCTTGGAATGTGGATGGCACATTGTTTGGAAAGACCTATACTCTATTTTATAAAAAACCAGCATCTTAATCCACATTTGTTATTAACTTACTATGATCTTGAGCACATTACTCTAACTTACTGTCCCAATTTTCTAAACTATAAAATGATGAGAATCTTCCAAAGGCTTATCCAAACTTACTACCCTACAATTACTCAGCCCTTCAAGAATAAATGGAAATGGTCGGGTAAAGTCAACCACTGAGTTGTTACGTAAGCTGGAAACACTTCATTCACTGAACATTTGTATGCCACATGCAATCATGGGGCTGGGGTGGAGATATGGAATTTGAACCAGCCAGACAAAAATGCTGCTCTCCTGGAGTTTGCTTTCTAGAGAAGACAGTCCATCAATCAGTAAAAGATTAACAGATAAACAAGGAAGTTCCAGGTGGTGAGAAGAGCTATGAAGAAATTAACTAAAGACAAAGAATTGGATGGTCAGAAAAGTTATCTTCAAGATGCCTTTTAAATTGAGAGCCGGAAAGCAGAAGGAGGCAGCTATTTGAAGACTCGGGAAGACCATTCCAAGCAGATGCAATGGTCGTTCAATGTTAAGAACTAGTTTGGAGTATTTGGAAACAAAAAGAAGACAAAGAGGAAGAAGAAGAGGAAGAAGAGGAAGAGGAAAAGGAGGAGGAAGAGGAGGAGGAGGAGGAGGAGAAACATGGAAAAAGATGAAGCTCAAACCTTAGAACCATGGATAGGAGTTAAGGTTTTACTATGTGTGATGGGGAGCATGTTGACATTTTGATTTGAGCTTTACGGTGTAGACTCTCAGGATCGGTTTCAGAAAAAAACAGTCACAATTTCATAAACAGACAATTGAGATGGTTAGTTATTTCAACAGTCCTTTTCTCACTTGATCTTTTAACTCAGAGGTGATTTGGGCCAATCATAGAATTCATAATTTCCTGTTTTTATTACTAGAATAATAATTGGAAGTTCTTTCCCCTTCTGGAAGTAGTGGGGTATGACAAGAAGAACTGAGTTTATAGCTGAGGAAACACTTTCGATTGCTTTTATTGTGTGTTGTATGTTTTGTATTCACTGTTTCAGGCTGCTTCATAATTCCTATGTAAAGTAGGAAGAGAAAAAAGCAAAAATAGAACAGAGTGGACATCAGTCATAGGACATTACTAAATTATGTGGATTGAGGAGGAAACTACCAAGATGATATCTCTGCGATCCTGACAAAACTGCTTCCCTCCATCTGTAAAATAGAAATTATAGTAACAATAATGCCAAACTCATGGTTAGTGTGAATGTTAAATGAAATAACATCTATGTAAAGTTCTGGAACAGTAATTGGGACTTATTAAGCACCCCATGGACCACTCTTCTCTTTTGTTTCTCCATTATCCCATCTGCCCCTCCAGATCCATTTTGTGGAACTTTCATGGTGCTGCACTTAGTGGAACCATATTGTCCAATATTGGAAACTGAAGACATCCATCTATCTATCTATCTATCTATCTATCTATCTATCTATCTATCTATCTTTTTATCTGTCTATGTATCTATCTATCCTTTGGCAGCTAAACATATGTGACCTGGTCTGGGTCAAAGTTAAGATAGTACAAAGATGCTGGAGTTATCAGATTTTATTCATATTCAAGCTGCTTCTGCTATAAGAGAGGTTTTACACTGTCCTCTGTCACCACTCCTACCATCTCAAGTTTCGTGTGCAGCTGTTGTTGTAGTCAGGGTTTACAAGGGAAAAGATTTAATACAGAGCATATAATTTATAGGATTATTTTATCATATCCACACAAAAAGTCAAATGTAAAAGAATGCAGGAGATCTGTCCACACACTGGACACCCAAAGAA